GAAGACTGAGAATGAGGTCTGTGTTGAGGAAACACACGAGAAAAGCATCAGTTGACAAATTCAAAACCCAAGCTCTTTCTTCTCGGGCAGAAGAGAAAACATGCATATTTTATGCATGAATTCTATTCTAAAATGCTCGGTTGCCTGAATGCATATCTCTACTAGAAAAGAAACATCTGTCTAACTTATGGTCAGTCATCCACAGCTGAAGATTCTACCACAGTGGTATCTTAGCTCTAAACAAATGTGGAGCTATGAATTCCAAAGTGGAGCATATTAAAATGAGATTATGTTGTTTTATTCCTTTAGTGTAAAATTTAGTTAGACTTAACGAGTTTTTTTTTTTTTAATCTATTTAAGTTAGAATGGAGAGTTTCCTTGGAAACCCTGGAAAACAAATTGATTAGAAAATTTGGGGTTGGTGGTATTATGTGTTATTCAGGGATAAAGAATTTCTAAATCTTATCACCCGAATTGTTTTGAATTGCTTTACTCTAAGCATCATAGATACAGAAACACTGCCCTGCACACTGTTTTTAAACCACTGGTCCCCCACTGAAGAGCTGCATTGCTGGGCCAGCCAGTCTCTGTCTTACACTTCATATATCCACTTCTACATAGAACAACAGACCGAAGCTGTGCAGAAGTTGCCAACGTGACTGTTACTTAGCATGTCTCTGTTCCTGCTAGTTCTGCTTCCATCAGAAAAGACCCCCCCATCTGTCTGCTTAACGGGTAAATTCTGCATAGATTGACTTTAGAAGAGAAGGCTCTGTGGCATTAAAGCAGCGTTCATTTGGGCTGGAGGGCTGGCTCGCCAGTTAAAAGCATAACTACTCTTGAAGAGGACTGAAGTTCAGTCCCCATATCAGGCAGAATATATTGTACATCCCGTAACTCTGGGGCTCCAGGGGAATCTGATGCTTTGGACTTGGGCAGGCTCTGTACTCACATGCTCGTACCTACATATAGACACATTCACTAACTATAATCAAAACTGAAATCTTTAAAAAGCAACATTCACTTGGATTTCTAGAATTTTGTTCAGCCTTTCAGAGCATGATTCTACAAAACATACATATCCAGACAGTTTCTGGTACTTTCTATGATTCTAGAATTCTGTTAAGACTTGGGCATAGACAGTGGAAAATAAGTAGTGAAGTCCACGATCACAAACTGCAGTCAATAGACAAGAGATCAGAATATATTGTAGTAATACAATGATACAAATAAGTTAACAGCAAAATATGAAGTTTAAAAATATAAATCAACAGTATCGTGAAAGAAAATAATAGATTAACGGTAGGAAAGCAAATTAGTTAAGATGGCGTTCTAATAATTTCTGTTGCTATAATAAAATACCCTAACCAAAAGCAATTTATGAAACAAAGGACATGTGTTAGCTCATAATTCTACTTTACATCATGGGGGAAATCAAGGACTTGGCCACATCCACAGTTGAGAGCAGAGAGAATAAACTCATGGATCTTTGCCTGCTCACTTACTTGCTTCTGCCCAGCTAGCTATCTTTCTTCTTATACAGTTCAGGGCCACCTGCCTAGAGGATGTGCTACCCACAGTGGGCTGGGCCGTCCCATGTCAATTCCATGTCAGTTAAGGCCAACAAGATGTGCCCACAGGCTAACATGATCTAGATGATTCTTCAACCAAGTCCCCCCCCCCCCACTGGTTCTAGGCTTTGTTAGGTTGACAGTTTTAACTAACATCACAGATAGAAAACATAATCAGTTTACATCTTCTCTAAATAGAGGTTGACTGAGCTCAGATATGGAGTATTAAAAAGAATCCATCATTCCAAGACTTGAGGGATCCTTTATGTTTGATGGAGCACCAAGGCCAATGAGGTGGAGTCAACTGGGCACCTTTTAGAACCAGAAAGCAGCCACAGCACAATGAATAGTCAGTGGTTTCTGTTTTGCTTTTCTTAAACTTGAAGAAATAGGTAGGAAGCAGAACATGTGGGGCTTTTAAAGCCATGGTAAAGAATGTAGATTTGATTCAAAGAGTGGACTAGAGGATATTGAAGGTTTTCAGGCAGAAAAATAGTCATTGGTGAGAATCACTTCATAATTCCCACATTCATTTAACATTGTTATTTATTTAACATTGTCTAATGCCACAAGCTATCAAGGATTAAACTGAAGGAAACAAAGAAAATACATTGAATGAGTAAGGCAAGTCCAGTAGGGAAACAGTGATCTTTTCAAACAAGCATGCTATCGTATCATCCACCTGTGTGCACAAAACTGAGCTGGGCGCATCCTCTCACTG